AAACAAACTATACACATATGTACACAAATATGTACATACTTATGTTCATAGATATATACAGCTACATGAACATGTGTGTGTATTTGTATACTGACTGTATATTTGTATACTCTATCCACTCAGAGGGCATAGAAGCAATTTTACTTTAGAAGCAATGAGTATGCCAAGTGCTAAGGCATTATGGCTCTATGGAGAAAGGGCTGATTCCAGGACTAAGGCAAGGAAGAGTATAAAAAAATCCTGGAGTATCTTGTTTTGAGTGAAGAAATGCTGAAAAAATGATGGGGACAAGTGAGAAGGACATAGCAACCAGATGAAAGAGGCTTCCATTGGTCAAATCTAGGTAAGTATCAACATAAATGAAAATATCAAATTATAAATTAATGAACAGAAAAGGAATCCAAGAATCTATAATATAAATAAAGGAATAAAAATTACAGATTCTCAGTATAAAATTTTTCTTAAAAATCTAACAATTTCTGGGCAAAAATGTCAGAAAAGATATTAACAGAGAAAAACTGAGTAAGCAATATTTATAGTATTTCATAAAACAATTCACTGCAAAGAAAAAAGGAAAGGATTATAAATAACAATGATTCAAGAAAATGTAAACATGAATATTAGTATACCTTAAACACAGACTGACAACTCATAAAATGGTGGACAGGGATAGGGAGGATGGATAACTCCCATGTTAAAAAAGGAAATAAGGCTGGGCGTGGTGACTGGGGTTACACCTAGGGTTAACCTAGGCTTACACCTGTAACCCTAGCACTCTTGGAAGCCGAAGTGGGAGGACCACTTGAGCTCAGGAGTTCAAGACCAGACTTGAACTGCACCACCACCACCAGCAAGAGCGTGACTCATCTCTACAATAAAGTAGAAAAATTAGCCGGGCATGGTGGCCATATGCCTGTAGCCCTAGCTGCTTGGGGAGCTGAGGCAAGAGGACTGCTTAAGCCCAGCAGTTTAAGGTAGCAGCGAGCTAGGATGATGCCACTGCACTCTACCCAGGGTGACCAAGTGAGACTCTGTCTCAAAAAAAAAAAAGAAAGAAAGAAAGAGAAAAGAAATGAGAAAACACCTAGACCTGATTGATGATATCATTATGTCTGAATCTGGGAACAGAGTTAAGCAGTACTGAGATGGAAAAACTACAAATTTGAAATCATTTTCAGGAAACCAGATGAACAATGAATGAAGCAATCATTCAATTCAATAATTTAAATAATGAAAAACAGGAAAAAACTCAAGAAAAGAGAAAAGTAATAAAGTAAAAAATATATGAAATACAGAAGATCAAAAACCAAATGTTGGTTCTTTGAAAACACTGTAAGACAGATTAATAAAGAGAAAATGCAAACAAAATACAAAATGGAAAAAGGACATAATTATGAACTAAATGTTAACTAATAATTAATAGATGAAAATGAGAAAGTTGTAGAGAAATATAAAAATCCAAACTGGCAAAACTTGAGTAGACCAAATAAAGTAAATTAAAAAGGCAAGGACCTCTCCTTAGGGGGATTAAAAAAATAAACCAGAATTAGAAGTTTTACAGTTTGACTATACTGAAGAAAACAAGTTTTAAGTAAGTTTGTCCACAAAACAGAAAAGAAATAAAACCTGCCTAGCACTTTGAGACTAGTATAATAGTGATTCCAAAATCAAATAAGGAAAATTCAAGAGAGAAAAAAAAAGAAATATTTCACTTGTGACTACAGATGCGGAAACACACACACACACACAAACTAAATAAAGTATTAGTTGGCCACACCTAATAGTACTTAAAACAAAAAAATCAACAAGGGTTTATCTAAGAAATTTAAGAATAATTCAACATTACAAAATCTATCAATGTGCTTCACAACATTAATAAAGGCAGAAAAATAAGAGGACTATTACAACATTAAAAAAAAGCATTTGGTAAATTCAACACTTATTTATAATTAAAAAAAAAAACTCATAGCAATCTAGGAATAGAAGGGAATGTCCTTAACTTGATAAAGGTTATATATCTAATCCAATTGTGTACGTGTGTGTGTGTATAAAATACATCATGATCAATTAGAGTTAAATCGAGGAATGCAAGGATGGTTCAATATCAGAAAAATCCATCAATGTATTTTACTGAATGAATAAAGATTAAAACTGGTATGATTATACAGACACAGAAAAAAAGCATTTGATAATGTCCATCTTTTATTTAAAGGAGGGAAATAGCTTAGTAAACTATTAAACTTCTTTAACTTGATAATACACAGGACTGCTTTCCAGAATAGATAGACATCTACATTTACTCTTGCTCTGTGGAAGGTTTTTTTTATATCCCTACCATCACCACCAACACATGGCATTATCTGTTTTTCTAATTTTGGCCAGTCTTAAGGGTGTAAAGTGATACCTCTTTAAAAAAAAAAATCCCCTGATCACTGGGTTTGAGTATCACTTCATATACTTGTTACCCTTTTGGGCTTCTCTTCAATGAACTATCAATTCATTATTCTTTGTTCAATGTTCTTTATGATTCAGCAGTTCTTTGTATATTGATGATATAAACCCTTTGGTGGGCTTAAACATTACAAGGATCTTCCTTAGCCTGCCATTTTTATCCTTTATTGAATAGAAATCTCTAATTTTGACGTAATAAAATCAATCTTTTTTGTTTTCCTCATAGTTTGGGGATTTTATTTAAGCAGCCTGTCCCCATGCCTAGATCACAATAACATTCTCCTATATTTCCTATTGATTTGATAATTTTACCTTCCATATTTAGATCTTTAATCCATCCAGAATCCACCTTTGGACATGATGCTAGTTAGGATTCCTGTTTTATTTTCCTTCATATAAAAAGCCAACTTTCCAACACCATCTAGTAAAACAAACACTGAAGGCTCTTTGTATTACTTACTAAATACTTCATAGCTTTTGTTGCTGTGAATTGTGCCTTTTCCTTTTAATTATATTCCCTAATTGGTACCCGCTCTTGTAGAAAAATGTTGGAAATTCTTATAAACTTATTTTACATCTAACAAGCTTACTTGAACTTACTATTTTAAGAGCTCATTGAGTCTCTTTGTTCTTATATACAGATGTCCCTGAATATCTGAAAATAATGCCTTAAAAATGTTTCATTTCTTACATTCCAATATTGATAATCTCTTTATTTCTTTTTCTTTTCTTATAGTTGTGATTAGAACTTCCAGTTCTGTTAAGCAATAATGTGATAGTGGGCATAGTGGATGTGTTAGTTAGGATACCGGTTTGGCTATTTTAATGGCTTAAGTAAGATGGAAAGTTTCTTTTCTGTGTCAGGCCTTAGCTAGTAGGCAGTCTGGGAGACAGGTATCTCTGTACATGAGGTTGGTGTGCTTCTGGTATTCTGGTATGTTGCTCTTTCCCAGCGTGGGCAAAACAGGGTTGGCGTGACCATATTCACATTCTAGTCCACAGGAAAGGGGAAACAAAAGCATTTTCCTTTTAAAGATGTGGCCTGGTAGTTGTAGACTCACTTCTCCTTCCATACCATTGGTCAAAACTTAGTCCTATGGTCATTCCTAATTGCAAGGCAGCCTGGAAAATACACTCTCTTACCAAGGGAGCTACTTACTGGCCAGCTAAAAGTTGCAGGGAAGAGGGGTTTTGTTAATAAAGAGTAGGGAGATGGATATTGTTTTACAGTTCTTATTTCTAAAGTGATGATACATATAACTGCTACCAAGTAAAAGGAGCTTCACAGAGTAAGGGTTTTTCCCCCAATTAAAAAATAAACTCTATCACATGCTCTTCCTATATAACATATTGATATGCATATATTTTTCTCTTTTTTCAGTGTAGTGAAGTACATCAATAGATTTCTGTGATGATTACTACTTATATTCATATAAGCACACAAGTGTAGAACTTATGATTTTATTACAGTATAGTATTTAGTGTGTGATTCAAATATGTAGAATTGATCATGTAGAATAATGTTTCGCAGAATCCAAAGTGCTGAACTTAGAGAAAATTCAGATTGTAAGATGGGAATTAGCATCTATTTAAAGGCTTACTACATGCGAGGTGATACGCATATCATAAAAAACACCTGACACCTGAAAGCCTACCATGTGCCAGGCATGACAACTTAATAAGGGAGTTATTATGCCTACTTAATAGATGAGGAAACCAAGGCACAGAAAGGTTAAATGACTTAAAGTTATATACTCAGTAAGTGGAAAGAGTAGGCTCCATAGCCTATGATCTTTCCCCTACGTAGCAATGCCTCTCAATCATCATTTTCTACAATGCCTTGATGATATACAAGTACTAGCATAGAGGAATTAGGGGTATTCTTGCTTAATTATTTCCTAAAATTTCACCTCAGTACCACAGGAAACCTTTTAATTCAAATGAAAAATTAAATTCTGAATTTAATAAAAAACTAAGATCATTTACAGAAATTCATTTTACATTAGGCTTTTTGGGAAAACTCCTGTTTTATTAAATTAGGAATGCCACAGGGCAGGTAGAAATCATCTATATGAAATTTGAATGTGCATTTTCACACTACACGAAGACAACTCTAGGGTCTAAGGAAAGTGCGATTTTGTCTTATGTTTCCAATTGAAATATATATTTATACTTAAAAAGGACACATTCTTTATTCTGTCCTCACAATTTTGAAATCTTTAAAGTTGAACTAATGCAGGCTTTGTAAATCTCAAAAAAGTTTGCCTGAAATAAAATATATTTATGATACCTGATATTTCTAACTGTTGAGGCTTGGAATATAAATAATAAATTAAAAATGAGAATAAGTCTTTTGATGGAAGAAGGAAACAATTAAAAGACTTTGCAATGAAATAATATATGTACTGGACTGACTAAAACCAAGTGATTTCTTTTCTGGAAACTGCTCTTTGTTATTTTACTAACTGTTGAGTCATATCAATTAGGTTCAACCGGAAAAGGTTTTTTAAATTCTTTTCCGGCCTTAAAAAAAAAAAAGAACTCACCCATCAAATACAAATATACTATTTTATTCTAAGGGAATATTTCTGTGGTTTCTGCAAGGGAAAAACCCAAAAGTGGTTAAAAACCAAAAAAGAACAGAGAGGATGATTTAGATGTTTCTCTTTTTGTTTGATGTTTTTTTCTCCCCTGGAAAAAAAATGTAATTTTACACAATTTTAGTAAAATTAAAAAAGCAAATAACTGTACACACATCAATAGCTACACTTATGAGGAATGACCAATAATGAATCCATATTTTCTCTTATGAATTAATTTAGGGTTCTGGGCAACTCTGTGGACTAACATGCAGTTGAAATCCTGATACAGTCATTTATCTGGGTATTGGCTGTTCTCAGTTAAAAGATACAGATTTTTTCCTGGTAGTTTATAACAATTTATCTACTATGCTAACAATATTTGTTTTTCATACAACTACAGAAGGGGAAATTGTTAGTGTTTATACAAACCATAAAATTCGTATAGTGGGGACTATTACACCTGATGTTTCTGGATAGTTTATTGGCAGACTTATCAGACAATCCAATTATTTTTCCTCCATATCAAACAAGGTATGAACTAAGAAGTTTTCCAGTCAGAAATGACAAACAGATGGAATTAATCATACAGAAATTTGGGGCAGATTTACTTGTATCACACAGTTCTTAGTAACAAAAATGAGATTTGTTACAGGCAGAGGGACAGAACCAGCAAGTACACAATGTCAAAAGGCCTACTTTGTAATTTTTATTTTACTTAAATGACTTTGATTTGTTAAAAAAAAAACAAAAAAAAAAACCTGCCACTCCCACCTAAAAAATGGAACATACTGAAAAGTCTTTCAAGATTAAAATTTCTAAGAGGTTTTCTGACTGCTCTCAATCTTTTCATAGGGTCAAATTAACCTCAGCTAAAGAAGGTATGTGATTGGCCAACATCATAAAAGCTTTGATTCACAATTTTGTGGGGAAAAAAGAATGGAGATGAGGGAGATGGATTGATATGCCACATACGCCTATGACTTGCACTCCTCATAGAACTACTAAAACAGCTAGAGTTTGGAATAATGCTATAAGAAGACCTCTCTATGGATATGCAAGACAGTCAATGTCTTTGTATCCTAACTCCAGAATCCCTATTTTCAAGTTTCATAGGGCAACAAGGTCATCTTCCAAATGCTTTATATAGGAACATACTAGGACCTTTTCTACCATAATTCAGATAGCTAAGTAATACTGTATCTTTGTGGAATCACTCACAGGTTTGCCAGAGTAAGGAGAGAGACTATTTTTTTTTAAATGACAAGGGCCTCCAGAAACTGCTGCAAAAGACAAAATAAGAGGAATTATTAGGGAAATAGGAAGGTAAAACAATGGGAGAAAAGCTGCCATTGGGGAAAAAACAAAAACAAAAGGAGAACCCCCATTTCTGTGTACCACAGCTCAGGCTATGAGACAGCAGCAATAAAGGCCTATACCCAGAGAAGTGGGCATTTTAGTGGGTTTTCTACAAACATTTCAAGACACTTGGGATCTAACAGGCTCCACAGATTTTCTGTGTGCATAATTAGCTTGCAGAATATCATCTCCTTTACTTTAGTTTACCCACATCCAGACCCACCACTGAGAAGGCTAGACCCAGAAGGTGAAAGGGACACATTTCTAAGTTAACAGCAGTGAAGGTCATTTTCCCTGATGTGAGGGGCCCATGGTAGAAGCACCATAGGCTTCTATCCTTCACATAATTGGCTTGGCAGTGAAAATCAAAATCAAGACCACTTTACTATCTTTTTTAAAAAGTTGAGCATTTTTATTGGGTCTTCAAGTCTAGGTCCCACAGTTCTCATTTGATGTCACTCTTTGCTCTGTACTGATCTCTCCCCTGACTTTTATGGAGGGCTTGCCCAAGTAGCCTATTGCAGCCAAGGTTTCACTCCAAAGCTACCTCTCTAAGGTCTAAGGTTACTATGGTAGAGTTTTATACAACAATTTTCCTTAAAAATATTCCACAATTTGTTATTCCCAAACAAAATAAGATTATGCACCACTCAGAGAAATTGGTTAGTCATTCTGAAGATGTCTAACAACTATATCACTGTCAAAGAACATTTCTCAGTTCATATTCTTTCCTTCAATTTTCATTTGTACATCCACACTGTGGGGTTCACGAGTCATCTGTTTCCCATTATCTTATAATCAAGTCAATAGGACTTAGGCTTATACATCGTTTTCCAACAGCTGGATGCATTCACAGTTTGGTGCATATCAATGTATACGAAAATAGGAACCTCACTTCCATTTTAATCTGATAATTCAACATCAGAGTCTTCAGATTTGGCTTTGGCAAGTTCTTCATGTACCTCCCTCACCATGAGAATACGTGTTAACATGGTGTCCAGAGTCCCAGGGTCTATCGGGAATGTGGAGTACCACATGGGGCTATTCGGGACACAGGAGCGCTCAGGTTGAAGGTAAAACACATCATTTCTCTGCTTCACACTTTCAGAACTATCCATAGGGGGAAAAAAGAAAGAAGGAAAATAGGAAATCAGAGAGTACAGAATATGAACTATATTGTTTAATGTAATGGCTCTCAATTTTTCCCCACTATGACCCACCATGGGGAAAGCAAGGTACCCATAAGGATAAATAGGTTTATACACATATTTCTCCCAGGAGTAAAACTGTACTCTGCATATTTTCTCACACACTCAAGAAATTACATTGGACTAGGAACAGAATGTTAATATAAGACAGAGTGTATATCACAAACTTTAGTATGTAAAATATTAAGAATAACAGGCCAGGTATGGTGGCTCATGCCTGTAATCCTAGCACTCTGGGAGGCTGAGGTGGGGGGACATCTTGAGCTCAGGAGTTCAAGACCAGCCTGAGCAAAAGCGAGACCCCCATCTCTACTAAAAAATAGGGAAAAAAAAAAAAAAATTAGCCGGGCATGGTAGCCCATGCCTGTAGTCCCAATTACTTGGGAGGCTGAGGCAAGAGGATTGTCTGAGCACAGGAGTTTTAGGTTGCTGTGTCTTAGGCTGATGCCAGAGCATTCACCCAAGGCAGTGACAGAGTGAGACTCTCTCAAAAACAAAAACCAACAACAACAAAAAAGTCAACTCACATGTTACAATGGCTGAGAATCACAAATCCTAAGTGCCCAATATCATGGAATGAACTCCAAGGGCACTCAATACACATTATCAAAGGCCAAACCCAACCATTATATTTCTTTTAGAAAAAAGTACTACAGTGTGAATCTTTTAACTCTAAAATCATAAAATTTTTCTAAGGAAAGGGCCACTGAAAAAATTTCAATTCCTTAAAAATTGTTTTTCTATTTTATGTTTACCAAAACAATTTCTCCTCAAAATTTCTTTTCAATATGAATAATAAAACCATTGCAGATTAGATGTCACATGTTGTGCAACAGTTGTAAAGATCAAACAATTAGCAGTGTTTTTTGCTTTTGAAGAAATTTCCTTAAAAAAATCATCAAGACAAGGCAGTTTATTTCTTGGTTCAAAATTCAGGCAGGGGGAAAAACAAAATTAGAGGTACATCATTTTCTAAAGTCACACACCAGATGATTTTCTGATGTTCAAGCGTCTGAAATCCAAAATATGTTAAGTGTTTTTTGAAATACACTATATCTAGTTCAAAAGAAGATCACTTACCATTTTGACAGGTAAAACTCATAAAGTCGAACTGGACATCTTAGTGGGTTGTCAGTATTCTCTGCCATCTCCACTCCAACTGGAACCTCATCATCTTCATTTCGTTTCCTCTTGCCAACAGTTAGTTTATCTTGAGACAGGAAATAATAATCAAAGGATATTAGAAAAGTCTCAAGACACCAATGAGTTTTGCTTCACAGCCAGAACTCTGCCACTCCTTCCCTTTCACTCACTCAGTCATTCAACAAATATTTGCTGAGCTCCGATGGAGGTGCCAGACATCATTCCAAGTGCTAGGTTTGTAGCATTAAATAAAACAAAGTAATTATCCTATGAAATTTATGCTCCCTTGCTCACCAATGGAGGGGCATTACACCAAAAAGTATGGTGTTGGAGAGTACAACTCTATTCTCAGCCTGACTTTTTAAAATAGATGTTACCAGGCATAGGATTCCTAAGCCATAGCAAGAAAAAAATGGTTCTACATGCTCCTCTTCTACAGCACAGATCAAGATAGAAGTTATCATCTCTTTATCTGAAAATATTTCTACCCTAGGGCACACCAGTGTCTACTGGGCATTTGTTCAAGTTTCTTTTTTTTTTTTGGCAGGGTCTTACTCTGTCACCTAGGCTGCAGTGCAGTGGCATGATCACAGCTCACTGCAGACTTGAACTCCTGGGCTCAAGTGATCCTCCTGCCTCAGCCTCCTGAGTAGTTAGGACTATAGGAACATGCCACTATGCCTGGCTGATTTTTTTTTTTTTTGTAGAGACAGGGTCTCACTATGTTGTCCAGGTTGGTCCTAACTCCTGGCTTCAAGTGATCCTCCTGCCTTGGCCTCCCAAAGTGCTGGGATTATAGGAGTGAGCCACTGCACCTGGTTTAAAGTGGATGCTATATGAACAAAACTAAGGAAATAGGACTGGCATTAAGTGAAAAAGCTATCATAATCTTTTTTTTTTTAAAGTAAAGGAGCAATTCACAAAAAAGTTTACACAATGTTGAACATCACAATTATTCTTTATAGATTTTAGTTTCAGTAATTTTTAAATTTTCACATTCAAAAAACATTTCACTCTTAGAAGTAACAACTTCAGTTTGGGAATTTTAGAACATAATTCTGGTCAAAGTTAATAAATTTAATTTCTAGTTCTATAATAATATTTATTTTTTAAACATTAAAATCACACTTTTATATAATAAACTGGTTTGGGAAAGCAAGACCATAAAACTCCTAATAAAATTGTCCCTATTGGTATTATTCTACTGTGTACAAAAGCAGTATACTATAGGCCAGCTTTTAAGTTCCTTCATAATTTCACCATATTAACAAAAAAGAAGGGTTCTAGTCAAGAAAAAGGATTTAGAAACAATAGATTAAAAGTTAAGCAGGTTTCTTTTAACTAGCAATTAACTCATCTGGTATCTTATAAATCAGTGTTCTTAACTCTAATTCTATATTTAAATTTCTTGGTAAGTTTTAAAATATAGATTTCTTGGGCTGTATTCAATTAAGTTGGAACTTCTTTAAAAGCCAATACAAATTGAAGCACGTGATTCCTCTCATTTCGAGGCAATACCTCTAACAATAGAGAAAAACATTCAAATATTAAAATAAAGCTATACTCTTCCATGTCTAGAATTTACAATTACCCTTCTGCAGTAACTATCTTCGTACTTCTTAGAACTAATGAGACTGCAAATAGAAATCTAACCACCAACATCACAAACCTGGTTCTGATTCCTGCTTCTGTAAAGGTGGGAAGAACCTCAGATATGTCATCTTGGTGCTGTACTTGAGTGTCCTGGTCCGTCTCATCACATGGGCAAAGGAAAGCTTCAAGTGCTCAGTAACATTCTTTAGTTGAAAGTATTTGGTATTGAAGAAAAGGAGGGTGTTTAAGAGGACAATTGGTGAGTAGGCGCCCAGTTGTTTGCACTCCCACAAATGCTCTTCTTCAATGCGAGAGAACATGTAACCTAGACAGAGGAAGAGGGAAAAGAACAGCACTGAGCTCCTGTGTAAGAAGAATAAGTAATCTCTCAAATTCCAGGACAGGAAGATACAAAGGGAGAGACTGACTGTTCCTCTCTTTGCCCCTCATCCTTATGTAGAAAAACGGAAAAGACACCACAAAGCAAAAGGAAAATGATGCCACTTGAGTAGATAATGTGAGTATTCCACTGAAACAGTTTTAATCTATTGATATTTTAGATCAAGGATTAGCAAGCTTTCTTTGTAAAGGGCCAGAGAGTAAATATTTTAGGCTTTGTGGGCCATATGGGCTCTGAACAACTTTGTTGTTGTAGAAAAATAATGAACTATAGTGAATACATAAAACAAATAGGTACGGCTACAAACCAGTAAAATGTATTTACAGACAAATTTTAATTTCACATAATTTTCTATTACAAAATATTAATACTTAAAGAGAATTTTCCCCAACCATTTAAAAATGTAAAAGCCATTTTTCACTCATGGACTACAAAAACAGGGAATGGGCCACATTTGGCCCATGGGCCACAGTTTGCCAACTCCTATTGGAGACCATTAAGCTTACTGTTCATTGGTTCAGTCTTATGTAACCAAGATAATTAGAAGGCAGATACCTTTCTCCCTTCCCACCCCACCCCACTCCATTTATTTTATTTTATTTATTTATTTTTTAATCTTTTAAATTTATAATTTTCTTTTTTCTTTTATACACCCCAAAATCATGGCTTGTTGGATATTTATTTTAAATTTAAATTAAGAGTGATTACTTCCTGATGACTTAGATCTGAGATTTTGCTTGAAAAGCAGAGGTCTTGCAGAATAATTAAAATGAGTGTACACCTTTTATTTTTTTATTTTTTTTATTTTATTTCTTTTTTCCTGAAAAAATGCTGACTGATACAATAAGTGTACACCTTTTAATTTCACCTTCCTCATGATGCCCCTTAAATGTGGGTTTTTCCCTAATGTTCTCTCCTTAATCCTCTTTGTTGCTGCTTCTGCATTCTATTCTTGGGAGATTATCCACAAACATGACTTTATTATTCCAAAACTACATCCCTGGTCCCCTCTCCAAATGCTAAATGTATTGAACCACTATGTTGCTCAGAATGCTTCAAAGGTGCTCTGCAGCCCAACAGAAAGGGGCACATATTCCTGAGCATGACATTCAACCTCTCCATTCACACCTGAGAAGCCTGAGACCAGGAGTGAATTATGGACTGGTCTGATAACATGTGGTCAAGGTCAATTCAAGAATAAAGATTTAACTCTCTTAACAACCAGTTCAGTGTACATATAAACTATTGAAAAGGGCCTGCTGTCAGAATATGTGGCAGCTACTGGCATAGTGTATATCTTTACCAACACTACCAGATCAAAAATGGTTTCTTTAAAGGTAAATACAACCAAGTTATTTTTAATTTTCACAATTAGTATCTATACATGCACTGAGTGGAAGTTACAGTTCTGCTAAAACAATCAACAATAAATCAAAGACTTGCTTCTCAAAAGTCCAAATGTTATAAATCAGGACAGAAATAGAAAATGAATAATTTATACAAAGATAATAACAAAACTAAAGCAATTTAAGAAAGCATATCAAGAAAACAGTTAAAATAAAAATAATCAGCCTACCATTAGGAAGTATTGTAGGTTCCCATATTTTCAAGAGTTTGGTAAGTTCAATCATAAATCTGGAATAGGGCTCAGTAAAAATATTATCTATTCTACCATTTTCAAACAGGTACTACAAGGGGAAAAAAAAGAAATATACATGTTGATACAAAGAAAACACAAGTTGAAACTACATGGTAAGAAATAATTTACAAAAAAACCCCATTAAATCGTACACTTAAATGGGGAAAAGAAAAGAAATATTTACAATTATTTTTTGCCCTTATAAGATTTGAAACATGTTCAACCTGAAGTATTATAGGAATATATGTGAAAATACCAGGATTCAGGGCCCGTTCATGTTAACTGACATTATCTTCAGCACTAAGCCTGCAAGGTAAAGTTTTTTACTTCCTTTTTAAAACATGGAATAACTTTAAACAGAATAACTTTAAAACTCTTTAAAACAGAATGACTATTTTAAGAAACCCTTTACTGACTTCCTAAAACTGATGCACTGAAAATTAATTCTAATGTGTATTTTCCAAATCTTTTTTTTTCTAATTCATAATGTATATCTGCAGATACGCTCTCAGAAGATTTTTGTTTTTACCCTGGATAGAAGATGATTTTTTGAAATAATATAGTGTCAGGTGACGTAAGGAAACCCTAATTTAGAAACTATCTATTTGAAGTATTCTAAATGGCGCTCTGAACTCTCTGGCCCAAAATCTAGCCCTCCAAAAGTTCAAGTCTAATTATAGGACATTAAACTATGTTAGTTAAAACCATCAACAACCATATCACAGGATAGAACACAAAAAACAATTTGAGTAGAGTTAAAAAAATGTATTTAGGCTTTCTCTTTCTGGTTCTTCCTGGAGTCGGAAAAGGTTGGGATGGGGATGGTGGAGAGAATGTATTGAGAGTGCAGGTCAGGTAAAATCGAATGAGATAGAGAAACACAATGAACAATTACAGAATACTAGGCAGCATATGCTGAAACTTTTGGGTGTTTTTAAAATGTGGTATTTTAAATTTATTTATCTATGGCTATCTTGGTTTTCTCCATTCTATCCACATATGATTTGACGAAAATTATTACCATTTAAATTGATTCTGGCTAATAAAGATCACTTCAATATGCTTTATTATTTATTTATTTGTTTGTTTGTTTGACAGAGTCTTACTCTGTCACTGAGGCTAGAGTACAGTGGCCGAGTCACAGCTAACTGCAGCCTCCTGGGCTCAAGTGATCCTCCTGTCTTAGCCTTCCAAGTAACTGGGACTACAGGAACATGCCAGTGTGCCTAGTTAAATTAATTTTGTATTTTTTGTAGACATCAGGTCTATGCCACTCAGGCTGGTCTAGAATTTTTGGCCTCAAGCTATCTTCCTTCCTCTGCCTCCCTAAGTGCTAAGATCACAGGTGACAGCCACTGTACCCAGCCTCAATGTGCATTTCTTATGAGATCTCATCAAAGGCAATTTATGATCTTATTGCCAGATTACAGTTTTGTTGTTGAATTATATTCCTTCTTTTTCTTTTTTTTTGAGACAGAGTCTCGCTTTGTTGCCCAGGCTAGAGTGAGTGCCATGGCGTCAGCCTAGCTCACAGCAACCTCAAACTCCTGGCTCAAGCAATACTCCTGCCTCAGCCTCCCGAGTAGCTGGGACTGCAGGCATGCGCCACCATGCCCGGCTAATTTTTTCTATATATATTAGTTGGCCAATTAATTTCTTTCTATTTACAGTAGAGACAGGGTCTCGCTCTTGCTCAGGCTGGTTTTGAACTCCTGACCTCAAGCAATCCACCCGCCTCGGCCTCCCAGAGTGCTAGGATTACAGGCGTGAGCCACCGCGCCCGGCCCTCCTTCTTTTTCTTTAATAAAGTCATTTTCAAACTTAAAAATATTATATCCTTGTTATAGAGAAAGTTTAAAATACAGAAAAGGCGGAAGAAAGACTATTCAAACTCACCAAAGTCAGCTACTATTAATATGCAAGGATATTTTCAAATCTTTAAGAAAATTTCTTTATAAATATATAGGTGAATTTTATACATTTATGCAAATACATCAGTATATATAAAATATATTTTAAAAAAAATCTCTGCCCTTAGATCAGGAACAAAACAAGAACACCTATTCTTGTCATTCCCATTCAACAGTGTACTGGAAGTCCTAGGCAGAGCAATCAGGCAAGAATGGGAAAGGAAAAATAAAACTCTTTCTATAATATTTGCAGTATACATAGGAAATCTTAAAGAATTGACAGAAAACTAATTATTAAAGCTAAGAAGTGAATTCATCCAAGATGCAGAATGTAAGCAACACACAAAAATCAGTTGTATTTTTACAAACTAGCAACGAACAATCCAAGCAGGAGATTAAAAAAAACAGTACAAACAGGAAATTAAAAAAACAGTACCATTTACAATAGCATCAAAAAGAATAAAAGACTGGAGAATAAATTTAACCAAAAAGATACAAAAATTGCTGAAAGTAAAAATTAAAGACCTAAGTAAATGGAAAGATATCCCATATTCATGGACTGAAAGACTTAATATGGATTGTTAAGATGGCAATATCCTACAAAGCAATCTGTAGATTCACTGCTATCATATAAAAATCCCAAAGGCCTTTTTTCCCCAGAAATGGAAAAGCCAATCTTAAAATTCATATGGAACTTCAAAGGACCCTGAATAGCCAAAAGAATCTTGAGGAACCATACTCCCCTGATTCCAAAACTTACTACAAATCTACAGTAATCAAAACAGTGTAAGACAGGGCGCGGTGGCTCACGCCTGTAATCCTAACCCTCTGGGAGGCCGAGGCGGGTGGATTGCTCAAGGTCAGGAGTTTGAAACCAGTCTGAGCAAGAGCGAGACCCCGTCTGTACTAAAAACAGAAAGAAATTAATTGGCTAAATAAAAATAAAAAAATAATTTTAAAAAAGTGTAGCCTGCCCTAAGAATAGCATTTAGACCAAAGGATTAGAACTGAGAGTCCAGATTAAACCCATAAATATTTGGTCAAATGATTTTCTACAAGGGTATCAAGACCATTCAATGGGTAAAGAACAGTCTCTTCACAAATGGTGCTAGGAGAATTGGATATCCACATACAAAAGAATGAAAGTAGACCCTACCTCATACCAGATACAAAATTAACTCAAAATAGATCAATGGCCTAAATACAAGAGTAAAACCATAAAACTCTCTGAAGAAAACAAAACATGGGGGTAAATCTTCATGACCTTGAACTGGGCAATGAATTCCTAGACATGACACCAAAAGTACAAGAAATAACAACATAAAAAAAGAAGGGGAAAAAAAAGAAACTGAACTTAATTAAAATAAAAAGATTTTGTGATTCAAAGTACACTACACCAAGAGAGTGAAAAAAAACCCTAGAGAATGGAAGAAAATATTTGCAAATCACGTATGTGATAAGAGTTTTTAATATTCAGAATATACAAAGAAAGCCTACAACACAACAAGAAGACACCCCAATTAAAAATGATAAAGGACATAAACAGACATTTCTCCAAATAAGATATACAAGTACATGAAAAGATTCACAATGTCATTAGGAAAATACAAACAAAAACCTCAATGAGATATCACTTCACACCCATTACAATGGTTATTTAAAAAAACAAAACAGAAATTAACAGATGCTGGCAAGAATATAGAGATACTGGAATCTTCATATGCTGTTGCTGGAAATGTAAAATTGTGGAACCACTATGGAAAAGTTTGGTGGTTCCTCAACAAGTTAATCATAGTTACTCCAAGACCCAGCAATTCTATTCCTAAGCATATATGGCAACAGAACTGAAAACAGGTGATCAAACAAAAACTTGTACATGAATATTCATAGCAGCACTATTCGCAATCATCAAAAGGTGGAAACAACTCAAACATCCATCAACGGACAATTGGATAAACAAGAGGCGGTATATCCATTCAATGGAATATTCAGCCATATAAAGGAAAGAAGTATTCATTCATGCTACAACAAACTTCAAAAACATTATGCTAAGAAAAAGAAGACAGACACAAAATGCCACATACAGTATGAATCCACTGATAAAAAATATCTAGAATAGGCAAATCCACAGAGACAGAAAGCAGACTGGATAGAGGGAGTAATAGGGAGTGACTACTGAATGGGTATGGGGTTTCCCTTTGGAGTGATAAAAATTAGTTATGGAACTAGATAGTGGAAATGATTATGCATCATGAATGTATTCATTAGTCCCACTGAACCATACACTTTAAAATGTTAAATTCATGCAGACAAGGTAGATGACATAGTTAAAAAAATAAATAAATAAAATGGTTAAATTTGGCCAGGTGTGGTGGCTCACATCTGTGATCCTAGCACTCTGAGGAGACTGAGGCAAGAGATCACTTGAGATCATGAGTTGGAGTCCAGAATGAGTAACAGTGAGACTTCGTCTCTACAAAAAAATAGAAAAAATTAGCTGGGCATGGTGGCACATTCCTGTAGTCCCTGCTACTCAGGAAACTAGGGCAGAAGGATGGCTTCAGGCCAGGAGTTTGAGGATAAAGTGAACTATGATGATGCCTGGGCAACAGAGCAAGACCCTATCTATCTCTCTCAGTCAATCAATAAAATTTACTATTTTATTTCATTTTATGTTACAGATATTTCCCATGTTTAAACAAATAAATATCACACTAAGCATATAGTTCTGCAAGTTACTTTTTAAGATGCATATCCCTAAGAATTTTCCATGTCAGTAAACATAAAAGCAAGTCATTCCTATTTAACTCTTGTACAGTATTCCATAATATGAACACATTATAGTTGAATGAACCATGATTCTTGATTAACACTTGCTGGTTTCTAGTTTGTTGCTCTTAAAAACGTTACCAATGAAAATACCAGTATATGTCTGGCTATGTACATGTGTATGTATTTCTCTGGGGACATATTCTGATCAACAGATTTGCTAGGCTGAAGAATCTATACGCATTTGAAGTTTTAATAGCCACTGCCAATTTGCCCTCTGAAAAGGCTTCCAATAGCATACATATATTTTCACTAATACTGAGTAGTATCAAACTTTTCAATCTTTCAAATTTTAATCCATTTAATTGGT